TAAGAGGAGGTAATGGCAAGCCATTTCTGAAAAACCTTGCCAGAAAAACTGCAGGGTCTTGTCCAGGCAGTTGCCAGGAATCAACACTGACTTGAAGGCACAAAAAACAGAACAAAATGAAACAAAAGGGTAGGTAGCTTCCATGGTTAGCTCTTCTATGTGTAAGTTCAACCCATTACTGGGATTTGAACTCACAGGCCTTATACTGGGGGGAAGAGGGGTGGGGAGCATGTCTTGAAGCCTTTGTATAAGGCCAGGCAAAAAACTGATAGGTATGAGGTCTCTAGCTTGAGAATGCACATGAAGATGTGTGTTTTTTTTCCTCAGAACTTCTGTTTACTTGAGGAAAGATCACTCCATTCCAATCTTGCATTAAACACCAATTTTCATTAAAAAGCCCATTAGTCTGTCTATAAGTCTTTATAGAACATTGCTTTAACTGGGCCTTCCTGTTTAAAATTTTGGAAGATAGGAATTTTGGAGAGAATTTTATTAAATGGGTAAGGTTGATTTACACTTCATAGAAAGCACAAATAATTGTCAATGAAGATTTAACAAAATCCTGTGAGATACAAAAAGGGACGAGAGGGATGCCTGTTTATTTTAGTTCTTGAAATATAAGACAAAATAAGAGAATTGTGGGAGTAAAGTTTAAAAAAGAAAGTTATAAGTTAAGGGCATTTGCTGATGACTTGGTGTTGGTTTGGAGGATCCACTAAGCAGAATAGAAACATTAATGGGAAAATTAAAAGAATTTGATACACTAGCAGGTTTTAAGATTAATAATCAGAAGACAAAGATGTTAACAAAAAACATGAAAATAAGAGATGAAACAGAACTGATGAAAATGATGGGTTTTAAGACTGAGAAAAAAGTAAAATATTTTGGTATCACTGTGACAAATATGAATTACATGTTATTTCAAAATAGCTATGTCAAGACATGGAGTGAAGTTAAAAAGATATGTTATGATTGGAGAAACTATAACTGTCATTGAGGAGAATTTCTGTGATAAAGATGAACGTCTTGCATAGAATGATGTTTTTTTCTCAGACAATACCTGTTTTGGCTATTGATGTACCATTTAAACAATGGCAAAAATATATACCTAAGTTTGTATGACAAGGGAAAAAGCCCCACGTTAAATATAAGGTGTTACAAGATGCAAAGGAAAGAGGAGGATTCGGCTTACCTGATTTGAAATTATATTTTGCAGCTTGTTGTTTGGTTTGGATGAAAGAGAAGGTATTGCTGAGAAACAGAAGATTTTTAGAGTTAGGAAGACATGACCTGAGATTTGGGTGGAATGAATATTTGTGGTATGGTAAAGTCAAGGTTAATGTAGGTTTAAAAAATCATTATGTTACAAGTATAATATTAAGAATATGGAATGGATACAAATCCAGGCTGTGCCCAAAAACACCTTTGTGGGTCTCAGCACAAGAATCATTCTATTGACAAGAAATAATAGACAAATACAAATGGTTAACATATGGTGAGATACTAGAATTTTGTCTAGGGAATTGTAAAATAAAATTAATAGAACAATTGATGGCAGAGGGACACAGTTGTCAGTGGTTTTCTTATTGACATTTCTCAGAAAGATTTAAAGTAGATAAAATAATTTATGGTGTTGGACATTGTAACACTGATTTTGAAACAGATTTGTGTACAAATGATGAACATGTGATTGCTGAAATGTATAAACTTTTATTGAAATTTTAAACAGAAGAAGAATAAGTTAAGGAATGTATGGTAGAGTGAGCTAAGAATTTTGGTTATAATATACACATGGAACAATGGGAAAATATGTGGTTGAAAGGACTGAAATTTACACTATGTTATAAACACAAAGTTACACAATGTTATAATGATTATATATATATATATAATGATGTGTGTATGTATGTATGTGTATATATATATATATATATAAATAAAATGAAGTACCGTTGATATATGACACCAAAAAAATTATCCACAATGTATACAGGTACCTCAAATTTATGTTGGAAATGTGAATAACACATTTTATCATGCTTGGTGGACTTGCAAAAAAGCTAGAAAATTTTGGGTTCAAATACATAGTGACTCAGAGGATTTTAAAGGTTAACATTCAACTGAAACCAGAATTTTTCCTTTTGGGACTGATGGATAAGCAGTTACGAAAAAATTCATGGAACATTATACATACATACAGTACATACATACATATATACATACATCTAGCTAGCTATCTAATGGCAGGAACAGCATACACTGAATGGCACAACCAAGTAGCTGGCATTGTGTACAGAAACATCTGCATAGTTTATGGGCTAGACCCTCCCAAGTCCATATGGGAAATTCCACAGAAGGTTGTGGAGAATAACAG